GACAAACGGATGGATGAATGGATGGATGGATAGATGGATAGATGGACAAACGGATTGATGGATGGACAGATGGATGAATGAAAGGACAAACTGATGGATGGATGGATGGATGAATGAAATGACAATGGATGGATGAATGGATGGATGGATGAATGGATGGATGAAATAACAAACTGATGGATGGATGGATGAATGGATGGATGAAATAACAAACTGATGGATGGATGGATGGATGGATGAATGAAAGGACAAATGGATGGATGGATGGATGGACGGACGGATGGATCAATGAAAGGCCAAACTGATGGATGGATGGATAGATGGATGGATGGATGGATGGATGGATGTATAGCTGGACAAATGGATTGATGGATGGACAGATGGATGAATGAAAGGACAAACTGATGGATGAATGGATGGATGGATCAATGAAAGGCCAAACTGATGGATGGATGGATGGATGATAGGACAAACAGATGGATGGATGGACAGATGGATGGATGAATGATAGGACAAAAGGATGGATGGATGGATGGACGGACAGACAAATAGATGGATGGACAAACGTATGGATGGATGGATGGATGGATGGATGGATGGTCAGATGGATGGACAGATGGATGGATGAATGATAGGACAAAAGGATGGATGGATGGATGGGTAGATGGACAGAAGGATGAGTGAAATGACAAACTGATGGATGGATGGATGGATGGATGAATGATAGGACAAACAGATGGATGGATGGATGGATGGATGATAGGATAAACAGATGGATGGATGAAAGAATGGATGATTGGAAGGACAAACAGATGGATGGATGGATGGATGGATGGATGGATGGATGGATGGATGATGGATGGATGGATGGATGGATGGATGGATGATGGGACAAATGGATGGATGGATGGATGGATGGATGGACGGATGGATGGATGAACGAAAGGACAAACTGGTGGATGGATGGACTGATGGATGGATGAATGATAGGATGGATGGATGGTTGGATGGATGGATGAAAGAATGGATGATTGGAAGGACAAACGTATGGATGGATGGATGGATGGACAAATTGACGGACGGATGGATGGATGGATGGATGGATGGATGGATGGATGGATGAATGATAGGACAAAAGGATGGATGGATGGATGGACGGATGGATGGATGGATGAATGATAGGACAAAAGGATGGATGGATGGACAGACAAATAGATGGATGGATGAAAGAATAGATGATTGGAAGGACAAACGTATGGGTGGATGGATGGATGGATGGATGGATGGATGGATGGATGGATGGACAGATGGATTGATGAATGATAGGACAAAAGGATGGATGGATGGATGGATGGATGGGTAGATGGACAGAAGGATGAGTGAAAGTACAAACTGATGGATGGATGGACAGATGGATGGATGAATGATAGGACAAAAGGATGGATGGATGGATGGATGGATGGATAGACTGACAAATAGATGGATGGATGAAAGAATGGATGATTGGAAGGACAAACGTATGGATGGATGAATGGATGGATGGATGGATGGATGTATAGCTGGACAAATGGATTGATGGATGGACAGATGGATGAATGAAAGGACAAACTGATGGATGAATGGATGGATGGATCAATGAAAGGCCAAACTGATGGATGGATGGATGGATGGATGGATGATAGGACAAACAGATGGATGGATGGACAGATGGATGGATGAATGATAGGACAAAAGGATGGATGGATGGATGGACGGACAGACAAATAGATGGATGGACAAACGTATGGATGGATGGATGGTCAGATGGATGGACAGATGGATGGATGAATGATAGGACAAAAGGATGGATGGATGGATGGATGGATGGATGGATGGATGGATGGATGGATGGATGGATGGATGGATGGGTAGATGGACAGAAGGATGAGTGAAATGACAAACTGATGGATGGATGGATGGATGAATGATAGGACAAACAGATGGATGGATGGATGGATGGATGATAGGACAAACAGATGGATGGATGAAAGAATGGATGATTGGAAGGACAAACATATGGATGGATGGATGGATGGATGGATGGATGGATGGATGGATGATGGATGGATGGATGGATGGATGATGGGACAAATGGATGGATGGATGGATGGACGGATGGATGGATGAACGAAAGGACAAACTGATGGATGGATGGACCGATGGATGGATGGATGGTTGGATGGATGGATGAAAGAATGGATGATTGGAAGGACAAACGTATGGATGGATGGATGGATGGACAAATTGACGGACGGATGGATGGATGGATGGATGAATGATAGGACAAAAGGATGGATGGATGGATGGATGGATGGACGGATGGATGGATGGATGAATGATAGGACAAAAGGATGGATGGATGGACAGACAAATAGATGGATGGATGAAAGAATGGATGATTGGAAGGACAAACGTATGGATGGATGGATGGATGGATGGATGGACAGATGGATTGATGAATGATAGGACAAAAGGATGGATGGATGGATGGATGGATGGATGGGTAGATGGACAGAAGGATGAGTGAAAGTACAAACTGATGGATGGATGGACAGATGGATGGATGAATGATAGGACAAAAGGATGGATGGATGGATGGATGGATGGATGGATGGATGGATGGATGGATGGATGGATAGACTGACAAATAGATGGATGGATGAAAGAATGGATGATTGGAAGGACAAACGTATGGATGGATGAATGGATGGAAAGACAGCTGGATGAATGAATGGATTGTGAGTGGGTTGTTAGGATGGATGGCTAGATGGATAGACAATCTACTAGCAAACTACAGATATTTTCAAAATGAAAGTTTTTTTCAAGTATTTGCTCTAATATTAGGGCACAAACTCAATTTTTACTATTTAATTTAAAATAAAAACATCTATGTTGTGTTTCCTTTTCAGGTCTGTTAGCCTGCAGCCATCTTATATATGTGAGTATATGTTGCATGCAGAGCAAAATCCTTTCGCTTTGGCAGCTGTCTGTCTGCATTTCTAGTCTGTGGGATTCAAAATCAAATATTAACTTCTAACGACTGACCCATATGACAGGAAGAAAACCACAACCCAGCCTCTCTCATCTCCACCCATCAGAGGAAATGACACTGGTCGCTCTTAAAGCCTTCCTCTGTGTCCCTGAGCGCTCTGAAACACCGTAACACAAGAAACATCCGGAGCTGATAAGCAGCATGACCACAACACTGAGTCTGGTGGTTATGATCAATATCCTCCTCACAGCCTCCAGCAGAGAGGAAAGGAGAGGTGTGAGAGAGAAGATTAACGAGTGGTATCAGGGAAAGGAGAGATGGAGTTTTAGGCTTTCCTTCTCCACTTTCTGATAACAAGATCACCCCTCGTCCAGTGACCTGCTCACCTGGGATTAATCCTGATTCACCTTTTTATAACTGCAGGATTAACTGGGAGGGAGGTGTCACTTTAATTCGCTGCATGTTACATTTTCTTTTAGCGAGCACATTGAATCTTTAAATCGAAGCAGCTGAGGTCAAAGACGGGAACATTTACAGAATAAAACAAACAACTAAAACAATATAATAATCCCAAATAGTTCACAATGTGGGAATATAGTGTTATAATAGTTATAATAACAGATAATAGGACATTTTAGTGACAACAACCTGATGATTTTAGCATTGTGATGCATAAAAGGACAAATGATCATCAGATTGTTTGTGTTTGCTAAAGTTGATTCGCAGTAGTGGCCATGTTAAATGGAACGGACTTAAAAAGTTAATTAGGTATAAAATAACCACAAATAGTTTATTTAATATTGTTTCAATAAGAGCCATTCAGAACTTCATCACATATATTAAGATTAATGCTCTCACTGAGGCAAAACATTGTCTACTTTTTGGCAAGTAATAATAATAATAATAATAATAATAATAATAATAATAAATAGTTTATTTACTGTTTTGATCAGTTAACTTCGTTTAAAGGCTGCAAATTAAGAGGTTTTTCCTTTTTTTCCACAAAGTCATCCAGTAACTTCTGTAAAAAGATGTAAACCAAAGATTAAAGCCATTTTAATTTCATTTTTTTCTTTTTTTAATACAAAATTTGCTTTATAAAACAATTTTAATCCAGTTTCAATAACATAATTTATGTTTTCCTGATTTTGTAGTTAGTGTTAATCCTTTAACTGTGACCTTGTCCCTACTTGGCTGTTCTCCAGACTTAGTTCCCCTTTCCAGCCACGAGGGGGCGCTGTAAGCCCGCCCAATCGCTGCTTCGCCGTAGAACAAACTGCTGCACTGCTCTAATTCCTTTAATTGCGTACTCCCTGCTCTTAATTGATGCCAATCTGTTCAACTGAAAGGAAACGCGACCTTCTTCTGCCAGAAAGCTTCTTTGTGTTTTGTGTGTATGTTAACATAAAGTCAGAAACTACCTATTTAATGTTGATTTAACCCTTTTTAACGGGTTCGGTGACGCAGATTGCACATTCCGAGGTAAGCAAAAACACCTGTGAGCAATATTCTAACACTTTAAAACGTGCACAAATTTGACAAAAAATATTATAAATATGTCTGTTTTATGAATTATGTATCTTAGGCAATTAGTCAGAATTAATTTTGTTGAGGGTAAAATTTTCTGTCGCGTTTGTCTCAATTTAGGAGTAATTTGGTGTTTTTTAATGTTTTTGTCGGCGTTGTAGTAAAATAAGCTACCTATCGGTCACTACTACCTTACTATGACCCCTCCCACTAAATAGACCCGGGGGTAGCACATAAAGACGACACTTAAATCCACCAAAAGACACCAAACATGCCGTTTAACGACCATTATTTGATGCTATCTTTATCATAACCCTATTTAATGAAGGTTATCAACAATAGAAGTGAAAATAAAGCCGTTTTGTGACGCGTACTGAATGCCAGCGAGCATTTCGCGGGGAAAAAAATCCAGCTGGCGGAAGGATACGGTGATGCGGCTGGTTTAAATTAGGCGCTGTGGCGTTTATGCTGTCAGTGTCATGCCGCTGATGTGAACCTGTGGTTCGTCCTCACCGAGTCGCTGCTGCAGCTTCTCAAATCTGCACACATGCCTCATTCGTCCCGACCGTGGAAGGATTTAATGACTTAACCGTAGTGGGATTACTTTTTTGTGTGTTTTTCTTGCTGTCCTCCGCCGACGGCTGCTAAATTCAACTAAAAAGGTAAGGTTTCCGCAGCTCTGGGCTGCATTTTGAAGGCTATAGCAGGGAAGTGAAGGCGGGGTTTCCCCTCTTATTTCACTGTTTGCTCTCGGTGTGAGTGTGCACCTGCTGCTGCGCCACCGGTGCATGCCTGCAGCGCGTGCACACACAGTCCGTGTTTTGGAGTGAACATGCATGTGGACTTTGCGTACACTTAAGCGGGATCTGTGCCAGGCAGCGGTTCGCCTTCACCTCTAATTGTTTTAATTCTGCAGCTACGCCATAAGGAGAGGTTCGCCCCGGACTCCTACCATGCCGCAGCACTCAGCTTTGACGAGTAAAAACTATGACTACGACTACGACTCCCTGCAGCCGTATTTCTACTACGATAACGAGGAGGAGGATTTCTACCCGCAGCAGCTTCAGCCTCCGGCGCCGAGCGAAGACATCTGGAAGAAATTCGAGCTGCTGCCAACCCCTCCCCTGTCCCCGAGCCGCCGGCCGTCACTGTCCAGCCTCTTCCCCTCCACCGCCGACCAGCTGGAGATGGTGACCGAGTTCCTGGGGGACGACGTAGTCAACCAGAGCATCATCTGCGACGCGGACTCCTCCCAGACCTTCCTCAAGTCCATCATCATCCAGGACTGCATGTGGAGCGGCTTCTCTGCGGCCGCCAAGCTGAAGAAGGTGGTCTCAGAGCGGCTCGCCTCCCTGCACGCCGCCAGGAAGGAGACTGCGCCCGGTGAAGGCGCGGACCCCCCCGGGAAGCTGAGCAGCAGCAGCAGCTACCTGCAGGATCTGAACACCTCCGCGTCGGAGTGCATCGATCCATCTGTGGTGTTTCCATATCCGGTGGCGGAGACGCCCAAGCAGAGCGCGGGGACAATGATCAGTAAGGCTCTGGGTCTGGACACGCCGCCCACCAGCGGCAGCAGTAGCAGCTGTAGTGACTCAGGTAAGCAGACACACCCCTCTGATTGGATACATGGTGCTCTGACCTACAGCAGGTGGGGGTAAGCCTTATTCTGATGTTCTGTTTTGCAGAAGATGATGATGATGAGGAGGAGGAGGACCAGGATGATGATGATGATGAAGAGGAGGAGGAGGAAGAAGAAGAAATTGATGTGGTCACTGTGGAGAAAAGGCAGGCGGTGAAACGATGCGACCCCATGCCACTGGAGACCAGACACTCCAGCCCCCTGGTCTTGAAGAGGTGCCACGTCTCCACCCATCAGCATAATTATGCAGCACATCCACCCATGAGGCAAGAGCAGCCGGCTGTCAAGAGACTGAAGCTGGAGAGCATCAGTAGTGGAGGGGGAGGTGGAGGAGGCGGTGGCAGGGTCCTCAAACAGATCAGCAGCAACCGCAAGTGTTTGAGTCCCCGGACGTCCGACACAGAGGATTATGACAAGAGAAGGACTCACAATGTGCTGGAGCGCCAGAGGAGGAACGAGCTGAAGCTGAGCTTTTTCGCCCTGCGAGACGAGATCCCAGAGGTCGCCAACAACGAGAAAGCAGCCAAGGTGGTGATCCTGAAGAAGGCGGCGGAGTGCATATCCAGCATGCAGTCAGACGAACAGAGACTCCTGTCACTCAAAGAACAGCTGAGGAGGCGAAGTGAACTTTTAAAGCAGAGACTTGCACAGCTGCAGGGCTCTCGAGCCTAAAATATCAAACCTGGGACTGTTTTCTGCCTTTTTTTTTTAAATGCAAGTTCAAGATGTACAGTTGTTGCATGCAAGTTTTTGGAATCTTTGATTTCAATGTTAAACTGCCTCAGTGGACGTTAAGGCTGAATTTAAATATTTAAAAGTTTATTTTTTATTAATAAAATGTTTAAAAAATGGGGTTGCCCTGTTCAGGCACTCAAAACTAAAAATATACATTTTTATGTTTTTGTATATAATTAATATTTCCTAAGAAAATGTATTTTTCAATCTGAATCGTCTGGATGTTCAGACTCACTGTTTGGGTTTTTTGCATTCTGTTCCTGGAGTCCTTTTCAAATATTAAAATGTTTTCTTGACTCTTGTGTCCCTGATCTGTCTATGAAACATCTCCCACTTAAACATCCCATTACAGCACAGAACAGGGGTTGGAAACAAGTGCTGATCAGATATTTTATTTTAAGACGGGGTAGGGTAAGACAGGGTGCTGTCATGGCTTCTTGTTGAGGAAGTCAGAACAAGATGACATTTATGAAGCTGTATTGTACAAGAACATGCTCAGATTCCCCATTATTTAACTGGGCTGTGTATTTTAAAGCATGTTGCTGATAATGTGAGATAATAAATTACGTAATTTGGGGCTTTAAATTTCACACTTCCATGAAGTCTCTTTTTTTATTAAGAATTAGGTATATTAATATCAATCAGATGAATAAAAACGTCCAGATGTGCGCTGATTCCCGCACAGATCCCCAGCAGACGCACCTGTTTGTCACTGGTGCTGCAGCGTCGCTCTGACGTCACGCGCTGCATCCCTGCGTTCCCCTGGGCGCGTGGTGCTCCCGGTCGCGAGCACATGGAAGTGCGCTCTAGATCTGCCTGAGACGCGCGACTCCACCATCATCATTATTATCTTTAATAATAATGATACTAAACGGAATATAAACCCAGAAAGCGCGCGACGAGCAGCCCGGTAAGATTCCGTCCACGTGTTTCCAACTAATTATTAGAATAAACAAATCAGACTGGTTATTCTAGCGACTAGATCTGTTTTATCTGTCGGCATGTTGTCTTTTTTTCTTTTTAACCCCAACCAGAAGCGGTTTTAGCTGCAGTGGAGGTTTAATTTGCTGAGATTGTGTCTGAGCCGATGCTTCTGGATCCTCTCTTGTATGTCCAACTCCTGGTGATCCTGTAGAGTTTGGAGCTGCATATAAACACGTTCTGCTCCGGGTCTATTGTTGTCTCGTGGATCTGCGTTCTATTTACATTTGGAGACGTGATTTGATTTTTTTTTACACATCCTGCGGTGCTGTCCTGAGCCAGGCTGGGGCTTGTCTTTGTGTCTGAGTAGTGATCACAACAAAGGGGAAGCATTAGGAAACGCACGTGGAGGTTTAACTCTGCAAACACAGACCCGATCAGTTCTTTGTCATAAAAAAAGAAGGGGATACTTTCTTCAGAGAATGGGTTATTTTCCTGCATATAAAACACAACACCTTATCTAATAGTGGGTAATAAACTCACAGGCAGCAGCACGTGCACTGTGGTTGTTGGATTTAGATGTAAAATGTGTTTATTTATTTATTTATTTTGGTCACAACTGTCATTTAAAACCACAATTTAAGGCAGAGTCTCAGTGTGTACTTTACTCACATGCATGCTGAGGTTTAGCCCAGTTTTATTTAACCCCAGCCCGACTCTGACATCATTTAACCGGCAAATGAAAAAAATAAAAATAGACTGGCTGCAGTTCCCTCAGAATCATGCTCTAATTCAGGCTATTTAATGAAATTGACGGTTTGATGTTTTTCTGAGGAAAACGTTGTAATTTGTTGAATTTAGAAGAACACAGATTCTATTAGCTCAAGATAACAATCATCAGGCTCTATTATTCCTGTTATAACAAAGTAAATCTTAATTTTATGAGATGTTTAGCTACAACCCTGAATCTTTGGTGATAACGAGATTAACGACTAAATTTCTTAAGTTATGGGTCAACATGTCCCCCTATCTAAGATAAAGTTTGTTCAAGAGTGAAAGAAAGATGGAGCGTGATATCGACAGGCAGATTGGGGCGGCGTCTGCAGTGATGCAGACATTGTAGTGGTTACATGGTGAAGAGAGGGCTGAGGCGGAAGGCAAAGCTCTTGGTTTGCCGGTCGTTTTAGGTTCCAGCCCTCATATGATCATGCGCTTTGGGTAGTGACCGACAGAATGAGATCGCAGATAGAAGGGGCCAAAATAAGTTTTCTCCACAGGGTGTCTGTGCTTCATCTAGGGTGAGAACCTCGGGCATCCGGGAGGGGCTCAGATTAGATCCGCTGCTCCTCCACATCGAGAAGAGCCAGTTGAGGTGGCTTGGTTATCTGTTTAGGATGCCTCCATGGACGCCTGCCTGGTGAGGTTTTCCAGGCACGTCCAACCGGGAGGAAACCTAAAAGAGGACCCAGGACTCGATGGAGGGACTTTGTGTTTCACCTTGGGATTCCCCCGGAGGAGCTGGCCCAAGTGGCTGAGGAGAGGGAAGTCTGAGCGTCTCTGCCTGTTTCACACTGAAAGCAATAAGTGGCGCGGAACAGTAGCGGGACGTTTTACTCGCATGCTTCAATGAGATCCACTACACACCGGGAGAGTCTTGGCCTTAGAACGGATTCCTCGCTGGAGTCGCGAGATCCCAAGATTCCTCAAGACTTCAAAGGTTGCTGTTTGTTTATGCAATCTGCCATTAAACCAAAAAGAAGGAAATCATGTTGTTATCACTGTTTGATGTTGTATATGATCCACAGCCAGGATTAAAGCCATGAAAAACTGGGCTTTAATCCTGCACTTCTGTACTTCTGCAACAACACTGGGAGTAAATAAGCTGTTGGGTCACACTTAAGCTTTATTTATATGAAATCACATCGCTTCAGTACTTTAATTTTGTAAATTACCGGGAATTTTACACTGAAACAATATGTGATTTCCTATGTTGTGGAAATTGGTGCATTTCAGAAGCAGCTCGCGACAAAAATGGAGCCTGATCCTAGTTGCACGGTGTGACGGTGTGCTGCTTCTGGGAAACCCCTGAAGATTGCTGCGTCGCAGCTGGTTGGCAACCGTCCATAGACTATAATGGATTGTAGAAGCAGTGACGTTACGCTGCCGTACGCACCACTGGTGCTTCCAGTGTGAAACCTTGGCTGCTGCCCCCTACAACCTGACTCCGGATAAACGGACAAGAATGGATAGATGTTTTTGCAATTTTTAAATTTTTTTTTATGCTTGCAGATTTTTCAATATCAAATTAAGCAAAATGTTCACCAAATCATGATTTAACCTCTACCGTGCTTTTGCTTTTTCCACTCACTCAATTATAGTTTGACCTGGTTTTCAGTTTATTATTCTGGTTTTGCTCATTTCTTAAACTGTGGATTTCCCTTTAATTTTCATTCAGTGTTTTTTTCTCTTTTTTAACTAAACTGGAATATAATGGCTTAACTAGTCTACACAGATAATTTATTTCAGATGAGCTAATACTGTCAGCAACTCCTGTTCATCTAATTAAAAGTTCACGAACAGCAAATCTTATTTAAATCTGCATTGAAATGTTAAACTAATTCCTGAAAAAAATAATTAGACACTTTAATTTCCACACAGAGAAAGAAAGCAATAATTTTTATGCATTTTTATTCATTTCAGGCCACAATAGTTGTGATATAATGTAAATGTTGATAAAAATGTAATGATAATATTAAGATAATGATAAAATAAGGTGATAATGTCTGTTTATTCAAAACTCAGCTTATTATATAGAATTTTTTTAGTTTAGTGATTTAATTTTTGCAGCTTTCTTTACAAAGGCTTAAAAATCAACCCACAATTGTTAAAATTTTTACCAATTTGGATAATCTATGCTTATTTACTGTGTAAAAACATCAACATGAAGATCTAAAACTGTGAAACACACATAGAGGCAGACTGGTTTGATAGATTTTTGTGGGCCTTATGATGTAAATCTCATGCTGTGATATTTACTCCTGGAGCCTGGGAAGGAGTTTTTATGTTTTGCGATTACATCAGTTCCCTGTTCACCCTGAACACTGGGACGTTGTGCTTTGAGAGTTTCTGGGTTAAAGCTGTATATGTTAGAGTTGAACTTGGAGTCCTGTGTGATTTCCAGGCAGACTCTCGCTGAGTTGAATTCCTCGCCACAGTGACTGCACACAAAGTTGGAGGCCTAGGAATATGCACGGCGGTCTGCGTTTATGTAATCTGTCTTTTTCCAATTTGGAAGCTGGAATAGATTAAAGCATCTGATACTCCTTAAAACTTCAATCATCTGCCAGTTTAGTCCTCTCTCCCATTTTACGGCATCAGTTTTAGGGAATGACATCATGTTTCTTTTTTGGATCACGCCGCCTTGTGTGTGATCTAGTTTTGTGTTGGCTGCAGCTGCACGTCTGTTTGTTTTGCAGGGCTTAAATGTGATGCTGAGATATCGTATTCTTTATGGATCAATGAATGCAATCCTATTATTTATTAACACAAATTCTGATCACCAGCGGGGGCGGGATGTGTGTGTGTGTGTGTGTGTGTGGGGGGGGGGGGGGTTATTCCTCTCCAAGGCAAGAGAAGATATAATCCTTCCATCCTAGAGTCTCCTTCCAGTGGGGTAAGGAACGTCTCGCCGCACCGCTAAAGATAGCGATGGATTCTATTTTGCGTCAAGCTCCACAGTTAACATGAGGCTATCAGTCCTAAGCATCTGGTAAATTTTGAAATAAAACACAAATGCAGATTTGCGATACCATGACCGAATGGCTTATTTGCTTCCTTCACCTTCTGGATTATGATTTGACACGCTGCAGAGCCGTAGTGCAACGCACATGCACCCAATGTAAATTGAGGGTTAGGGTTATTCTTTATCATAACCAAGTGGAGCAACAATGTCCTTACAGATTCATCGTTTTACCATTGCTCGTTTGATACTTTCTGATGACTCATTTAATCTCATGGAAAGGTTTAGCACCCCCTGCCTCAGTTAGGGTCTCCGAGGGGAAATTGGTTTGAAGCAGATAATTCAACCATTGAATCACCTGCTCGACAGGTCATGAAGCTCTACAGAAGCCTGTAAATCCCCACTGATTCAAACCAGGTGTGCTGGAACAGGAAAACCACTAAAACATTGTGGGTTGGGGACCGTGAGGACAAGGGTTGGAAACCACTGGATTGAGGGAATAAAGGTGTTTAACTTGTTGGCGAGTGCCTGGTTACTGGGCCTTCATTCGTGAAAAGGGTGACTAGTGAAGGTCTGGTGCAATAGAAAGTTTTAGGATCCCTGAAGCACACTGTGTTGTGCTTACATACAGCCTTTCATGGTAGCTGTTTACACTTGCAGTACTAAATAGAAAACTCAAATGTTGCGTATGATTCTTCTCCTTTTCTTAACAGCTAGTAGCTTGACACAGTTCATGCCTTCCAGCTATAAACACACACACGAGGTCTGTGTTATGGTTCTGTTATGGAGGAGAGGAAATGCGATCCTCTCAGACAGTAGGAGCGACGGTCTCGAACGGCTCAACAAGTGTGGCCGAAGCTGTCAGAACGACATCAGGAAGGTCAAAGCCCGCTCCACTTCTCAGGTAGTCCAGTGGGATGAGTCACCGTCCTCAAACAATGTGTTTGATTTTCCTGTCAGTTCGGTTCAGGCATAGAGGGAGAGAACAGACACAAACTGTTTAACTGACCTACATTCTCTGTTTATGTGTCCTGCCACTGTGCGAGTGCAAAGTCTCGCTTTTGAAATGAAACATGCCCATACGTTTAATAAGCCGGTCTCCAAAATCCGTTGTGGTTGTGACAGAGCGGAGGAGGACCTGGAGACGGATATACCCCCTGTGTTTGCTCACGGCGGCGAAAGGTGCTGCCCACGTGATGCCAAACATCATCATGAGTAGTCTTAACTGTGAAGCCGATGGTTGTTATTCT